GGGGGGGGGATAATGTGTGAGAATACATACATTATTCAGGTTCCACTATTATGTATTATATATATTATATATTCAGATATCCACTATTTTTATTTGGTCTGTTTGAGGATTTTTTTTAACCTGTGTTTATACAGATGTATAGGCATGCTTCATATTCCTTGTTTTATATAATTTCTTAAATTTTTAAAAATGACAAGTGATATATTTTGCAGAAATTCTGGTTAGTTTTAAAACTAAGTAAGTTGACCATCTTTAAAAAGCACTCCTAGAGCATTAAGTTAGCTTTTGACATTCCAGAATGTAGTGTATGTATAGTAGTCTATAAAAATGTAGAAACCAGCTATTAAAATATTTTATGGTCCAAGTGGAACTAATAACCTAGTAAGTGAAAGATGCAGGCTGTTCTCTGATACAGAGGACTTTCAGAACTCTGATTGTAGAGATTTTTTCATCCTTATCCTTTTTGTTTTAATGCGATAAGGTTGCTCATAACTTTACATTTAGAAATTGATTTTGGTTTACATATCTAACACTTGTTCTATAGGTAAGCTATATATAGCTATTACATACTTATAAGGCACATAGACATAGGAAGGTGTATTTGAAATAGCACTCTCTTAGTGAATATACAGTGTGTCAAGAATAGTTTAGCAAAGTAGTTATTTTCATATTGCAAAATTAGTCCCTCTTGCACAGTTATACATGAGCTGCAATTATTGGGTCTTTTACGTATCAGTGCTTTCCTCCAGAGTAGGACAACTGTTGCTGTGATAGGGAACTTAAATTTAAACGTTCTATCAGCTTTTTATTTCTTCTGCTTAAACTTTCTTGTGGTCCTTGTTTTGATTCTGCTCTGCTAATAAAATTCAGAATGAATAATAGATAACTAATAAATTTGTATGCATGGTTGCTGATTTAAAAACTGAACAGGGTTAAAATGGCATAAACATTAATTTAAACGGTATGTACTTACTAGTCTTTATTAACTGGTATCTTATTTGTATTTTGTTATTTTCTACCTAGAAGTGGAAGAACTATTAACTTCTCTTAAGCATATCCAGCACGTTTTGGTAGACCCTCAGAGCCAAGAGGATATCTCTCTCATTTTACAGCTTGTTCAAAATACTGATTTTCAGAATGCATTTAAGATACACAATGCTGTTACAGTGCACATGAACAAAGCCAGCCCTCCATATCCTCTTATCTCCAATGCCCAAGAACTAGCACAAGAGGTATGTACAGTATGCATCTCTGTGATATATTTGAAAGCTATAATCATAGCTGTTAAAATATTTTACTTGTCAAGTTTGTTTGAATTACTGAATGTTGCATATAAAATGGATTATACTAGTCACTGATTGCTGTATCTGGTTTTTCCAGATTTCTGAATAGTAACCAGAAATGTTTTGGGGGTAAGAATTTCCTTTTTAGTTCAGGTAGACAGGTACTAATAATAGTAAATTATTACTTTTAATATGTGAAAGGTACTGTGTTCAGATGCAGGAAGGAAGAACAGTTAGTTATTCGTAACTCTCTACCTCCAATATTCTTTATTTCAAGCATTCAGCAATTGAATTGCAATTCACTGACATTCCTGTGAGTGAGCCATGGTTCCTAAATTAGGAAGGCATTGCGGAAAATAAGACTGTACTGTGGAAGTAAGCATTTTGCTTTAAAGTGAGCGCTAGATCGCTTAGAACTTTGTTTCAGTATTTTGATCACTGCTGTGATGATCAAATTAGATTTGATTTTGTGCTCTGACAGATGACTGCTCTTTTATAAGACCTAATATGTCTTTTAGAAATTACTGAGGTATGCTTTTAGAGTTTTACTTGAGATTTTAATGTTAATCTTTTCAATGAGATGTTAACTCAAAAAAAAAATCAAAAACTTAATTATTTGCATTGAGACTTACTCGCTTGAATATAGCTGAATACCCGTAGCTTTATAAGCAGGAGTAGTAATTTACAGAAAACCTGTCAGATATGAGTTGCTGTGAACAGTATGAGTTCTCACGTGCAGCTAGGTGTGGCTGGACCCTCTGATGGTTTTGCTCAGTAACTTTGTCTTCCATGCTCTATGGCCCAAGGTTATTGCAGTAAAGTAAGGCTACACCTCAATACACATACATGTTTGTTAACTTTAGCTAGCTTAAATACCAATATCACCCTAAGTGTAACAACGTAGTGTTCAGCAAAACCAAATCCAGAGACTGGGTAAATGCTCTAGCAGTTAGCACGCAGTGAACCAGACTTTACTACTTAGAACTGGCTCAGATATTGAATTAGGGTATCTAAGCCAGTAAATAGCTGGCTGTTCCTCAACTGCTATGAGACCTATCGCTCCAATTTTGTTTTTCCAGTTGGAAAAAACATTTCCAGTGTTTTTTTTCATTATCTAGCTTTTTTCTGCCTGATGAGAAGCAATTTTTTTCCCCCAACATCTGCTCCTCTTCTTGTTTCCTTCTTGTAGACTGTGACCTTGTGAGTTAAGGAAAACAACTTCATAGCAAGCTTGGAGATCTTTTTCAGAAGACATTACTGGTTCTTGAGGGGCATTATTTAAATATTATCTAAAGGCACAGTGTGCTGATTAAACTGCAGCTCAAGATTTTCCTGCTTAGATTTGCCAATGAGATTGGGCCAAAACCAAGTGGGGATATTTTGCCTTTGAGCCAGATGAGCTTGCCTCTGACTTAGCATCCTTTAGTTTATTACAGGCTGATGAGTAAGTAGACTTCTTCAGTATTTGTATGTCTGAACTGAAGGGACCTTTTCAGTTAACTTCTGTTTGTAAACTACTTCCTCACAAACACGCCTTCCATTGGCCTGGTTCAGGGCTTTGTTCCGATACAAGCTAGAGTCTTCAATCTCCACTTACATATAGGGCTTTATTTTCATCTATTAGGAAATCTGGTTTTCCTAATCTGTTTTTTTTCTTCATGGATTTGATGTCCTCTTATTCGGTGCTTAAGGGAAGCTTCCAAGAAGAAAACATGCCTTCCAACTCTATTACTCTTGCAAGCCCAAATCCTCTGAATTCTGTAGTGGAAGAGCAAACAAAGCCTTGTTAGTGTAGCAGAACTCCAGGTCTGTTTTCAGTTTCATATTCCTCCCTGCTATCTTCTATACCCCTTGCTTTCCAACAAACCCCATGTATGTGTTGTGTTGTTGTGTTTTCATTTTTTGTTAGCTTCATAAATCCTAAAATCAAGGTGGTGTAAAGCCAATGCTCTCTCTCTTAACAGCATTCCATGAAGAAATACTTTCTTTACAATTAAATCCAAAATTGTTTTAAACCTATCAAATTCTGTTATCGCCCAGAAAACTATTACATAAAAGGCAAACATATTCCTGCAGTCTTTTTTATTCCTCTTTCTCTGTTCCACTCTTGCTCTCTGGCCTTGAAATTCCTAACAAGGCAGTATGTTGCGCACGCCTATTCCAATTTCCACATGTGATCTTAACGGATTCTCAGTAATTCAGCTTCTGATATATTTAAGCTACTTGTATTTTGCAGTATGTTAAACAGCATCCTGAAATGGTTGAGCTGGTTTCCATTCACAGCATCCTGTGTTCTCTTAGTGCTGTCTCAATGGAAGATCTTAGGCTCATTTTTCAGACTAACTTTTCCTTTTGGAAAGGCCGCCTCTTTTATTATGCTAGCAATAAGGGAGGAAATGATTTTTGCCTAAGAAGAAGTTCATTTTCTTTCCTCTGGCCGAGCTTCTGTAGCTTGCGTGTCTGACTATTTTTTCCTCATCTTAGGGGGGAGGATAGGGGGCAGTTTTTTCATTTTTGTTTTGTTTGTTGTTCGTGAACTTAGGCATGAGGAGCTGCCCCAGAAAGCAGTTCTTTCCTCTTTCCAGAGTTTTATTTGCTTCAGAGTGATTTTTAAAAAGGCACTTGAAAAAGCCTGGACTTAAGATACTGATAACTTCTTGATGATGCCAACAACAAAACACTGTAAGAAAGAAAAATGGCATATATGCACATAAGGTTAATTTTAAACGGCAAGTAATGCTAATGTGAATATTTTAAAGCACAGTTGATCAGTGATACTGTACAATTCTACAGCTGTTTTGGACTGTATGTCCCAAAAGCTTTCTTTAAAGCTACAGACGTCTGTTTTGTTTGGGATTTTGCGGTGCGCTAGAGAACCTGCTCTAGCGCTTACGCCTCCATAGCTCGAACAGAAAAGGGCAGTTTGTAATGTTGGTTACACAAATTCATGTTGCAGCAGAAATTGTTTCTCCCTTAAAAGCAAAACTAATGTTAAAAGGATTAAGCTACACTTCTGGAAGTGTGTGTTTAGGGGCAGGTTTTCAGCTGCTACACTGAATTCAAAAAATCTGTATTCGTTTACTATTTAAACAAGTATCCACTCTTATAAAACATGTAATGTGGATGATCCGAGTGTTCTGAAAACTCTTTTGCTGTTGCGTTTTTAAACTATTTACAACACATAAAAATACAGTGGTACATTTTTATTTAGTAGCCCTTTTTAGGGAGTTATTAGTAGTCCACTTGTACTCTTACTTTTCCCGCTGATTCCAACAACCAGGCACTAACAACTCAAAATTTCTCTCTCCCTCCTCTCCCCCCGAAACTTTAATTAAAAAGGTGGAGTGAAGCGCATGGGCTTAAGGAATTTACATGGAGATTAGCTGCCTGAAATAGTGTGGTGGACTCTGCCTCTTGAATAAAAATAGCCAGTAAACATCAAATGTAATTAAGGTGATTTTAAATTCATTTAAAGTTGACAAAAATAGGGCCAAGGATTATGGGAACATGATCTGAATCTTGACCTTGTAAGAGCATTTGATGCAGCATTCAAGACGGTTTGTAACTTCTGGCCTGTAACAGCACGTGTCAGACGTAGTAAAGATATTGTTGCTATTATATTTACTTCAATAGACCCAGTTTACAACAGCTATGTTCTTGAATGTTTCAGATTTAATGCTGTCCATTTTGGCAAATGTATGCAATTAAATTAGATCAGTACTTTTACAAGGGGAAGCTCGTAACTTAAGAGTACTAAACCCGTTAGCATGCATATGTCTATGCTGTTTAATGATCGTATGATCATACGAGAGTGAGGAACAACAGGATTTTGCAAGTGCTGTATTCTGAATGGTCAATACTTGTTTGTGCCTCCAGATTGCAGTTTGTATAGTGAAATCACATTAATGTCTTTTTTTGGAATTGGTTTGAAGTAAAATTAATGTAATTAACAATAAGAACCAGACTACAGGCTTAAGAAATTACTCTTGCCACATATTTAATGTGGACTGCCTATGCCATCAGTTTAGTGTATCGCTTGAAGAAAGTCAGCCTAAATTCTGCTTGCTTCCTCTGATAAAACCTGTGGAACTTGTGAGAGCCAATAGCGAAGGAGCCTGACGTGCTGCAATACTAATGTAATAAATGATGTATGTGGACTGAAACTGTTTTAGCACTGTAACAAAAATATTTAAAAAGTAAATTGTCTTTCTCTTAAAAAGCAGAGAAGGGTGGAAACTGTTAGAGGTTTGAATAGTTTAGTTATTCTAAGCAGAAGCTCAACTTGAATAACAGATACTCACTGCACTGAGAATGACTGGTTGGGCCAGATTGCTAGGCATGGAAAAATAAGTGTGGGAAGATGCAGTTCCTGGTGTTGCATTCATAAAAATCCCACTGGTTTTGGCTGTGATTCCTAGAAACTTGAAGTAGGAAGATAACAGGAGGGGTAAGCTAGGGACATAAGTGGCTTGTTGTAATTGTTTGCCTTTATGCATCATGTAGCAGCTAGGAGAACGTTGCTCTTCTCAAAATAGCATGTAAGTTTTCTTGGTTCTTTTGGAAAGTATTTTTTGCTTCTTGTACAAACTTACAAAGGCTTGTAGATTCAATTCCGAGAGATTTAAGGGCAAGTACAGAGGTGTGCTCTGACTAAGCATTCAAAATGTCATGCTTGTAGGACTTCTGTCTAAATTGCGTTCTCAGTATGCTTTTCTGTGAAAGGGCTGTAAAGATTGGATAAGCAAGGCTTTAAAAGTACGTTTTGTGGCTTCTTCATGAGAGTTACGTCAAATCTCTTTAAAGTGAGAGACCTTAAATAGACCTCTTTCAAGCTGTTTTGTACAGAAGAGTCTTTTTAAATAGAGAGGAAGAGTTGCTTTTAGTGAACTATATCTGTCAGAGTGCTCTGTCTGCTAAATGACATCCCAAAATTCAGGCTTAGCGGGAGATAATAGCTTTCTGGCAACTTGAGGGAAATTTTGGAATGAGTCAGAGGTGAGGCCTGTATGAAGCTGAATTCTTTCAGGGTTTTGAAAAAATTAATAAAAACTTCTTTAATTCTGGCTTCTCCTCCTGTGACTGTTTTCTTTCAAGGTGTGCTAGGTTTGTTTGCTCTGCGTCGCGTTCTAGGGACGTCAGAAGGAAGGCTGTTGGAGCATGTGCCAGGTGGTTATTTCTAAGCCTCAGAACTTGTTGCATGTGATGACTTTGGGAGCAATGGAAAGACCTTGTACTTACCGCAACTGTTCGTTCAGTGGCTTCTGATGGCGTTTCAGAGCATCTTTACTGTTTTCTGGGTAGCATCCCAGAGAGTTTTTAGTATTTCTGCAGGTGATTTCTGTCAGGGTAGAGGCTCTTGAGATCTTTTGACCTTGAATCCAAATGTGTTTTTGGCGCCTGAAGTTGCTTAAGCAAAAACTATCCATTTATTAACACAGATTATTTTGGAACCAGCCAAAGAAACCTGGTTTCCTGGGGCCCCGGTATGTTGAAGTTCTGACTGTTCACGCTTTCTGAGGCAGGGGGCTCAGCACGGGTGGTAGAAACCTGTCTTGGAATCGTTTAGTTTTGCTGCTGGTAGAAATAGTTTGGGTAGCGATAAACTATCCCCTTTTAAGCAAAAGGGAGTCCAGCCACATCAATGAGAAATTAGTCTGTTTTAAAAGAACTTAGTAAAATCAGTCACGATGAAGTCTATTATTTGAATATGCTATCGTCTTCCTTTTACTGAGTTTAATTTTGTTATGCATATCTTTTGTAGTCGCTGAGCTCTTTGTTAGTCTCTGCTGTTGACAAATCTGTATGATGTATCCGATACCAGCTTTTACTCAGAGAATTACTGAGACAAGACATGCCAGAGTAGTTCTGTAGTCTCACTGCATGTGTTTCTAATGTGTACCAGATTAAGTTTCATGAGTGAGTGTAACACTTATGTGGACATCCTCTTACTTCCTGTGAAATGAATAACTGCAACTAGAACTTTACTTTGACGGTGGGGGTTTTCTCTGTTTGTTTTGGGGGGGGTGACTTGTTTTTTGGGTTGGTTGTTTGTTTTCCTTAAGATTGATCACGGGATAGGGTAAGAGCTTTACCCCCGATTTCTTTTTAGGTACAGAGTGTTTTGAAGCCCAGTCACCACAAAGATGGGCAGGAACTTAATGCTTTGCTGAATGCCCCTCATATGCAGGTAAAACAGCATGAGACTTGTAATGTATTGTATATATTTTTTTTAATGCTGTTCTGAGTCTATTTGATGTTTTTGCAAATGTCTTGGACTGTTTGGGGAGGGGATTTTGTTCTTCATCTTTGTGGCAAGGCTTGAGTACTTTTTTACAAAGGAAAATTTTAATTAAAGTCACAGTTGTGTTTAATATTGCTATTGTATTCTCTGCAGTCTTGAAGCAAACTTTGGCAAGTGCATAGCAGGAGGTAGTACATGTCCCAGAGAGTTTGCAGTCTGAGAGCTGCAAAGTCATGTACTGTTTTGCGTCAGTGTTTCGTTTTGAAAACCTTTAACCACCGTATTTTGAAGAAAGACCTGTGTTACGGGGGATCCACGTTTTCATGAAAGCATTGCAACAAATTTGGAAGCTTGGGGTTGTTTCTAAAATTTAAGCTGGAGATTTGGGGGTTTTATATTTGCATCTTCACATCCCTGCACTTATAATAAAAGTCAACTTGTTCCAGTGTTTTTGGTCTCTCCCTCCCTGCTGCCTTCATTTTCCCTGTTCAGAATGGTACAAGGGAGTGCATGACTTTGGTAGGTTATAAAATTACATCATAGGGATAACAGGACACTTAGTGCTGGCCAGACACTGCTTTATTCAGAAGGCTTGTTACTTTACAGTGAGTTTCAAAGGTATTTCTGATCTTTTGTGATAACAATAAAACTTCAGTAAGTTTATAGTTAAAATTATGGATTACTACTCAGTAGCAAGCAGATGAATTCTGCAGCTATGTAAAATATAGAACCCTGATAATAAAATATATTTAAATTTAGTTGTATAGTTGTGATAATCTTTTTTTCGTTGACTGAGTCAGTTTGCAATTTTCTGTAACCTGCAAAGACTTAGGTAGCTGCAAAAGAATTTCACTGGACTTTGTACTATTTTATATAGGTACAAAATGCAAAATTTCTTTAAGTGAACTGATTTTGTTTAACATTAGGCACTCCTACTGGCTCATGATAAGGTTGCGGAACAAGAAATGCAACCAGAGCCAGTGACAGATGAGAAGATTTATGAGAACGTTGGCATGTATGGAGGGGAGACGGTTAAAATAGTTCGTATTGAGAAAGCTCGAGATATTCCACTGGTAGGTATTGATACTTACTCAAAATTGTATGTAAGGCTGGCACTTTTTGTCCTTTGCAAATTGCAATGAAAGCTTTGAAAAGTGAATGTGGAGGTGATGTTTAACTTGTAAACATCTTTCCCCTTCCCCCCCCACCTCCTTGAGAAATTCTCACAGATGATAAAGTTTTTATGTATTTTGATACTGGCACTTGACATACTACCTTTTATAGTCCATATGACTGCTGTGAACTTGGCTTTGGACGGGGCTTCTTAATTGAAGTCACTGCCCCAGGTTTTGCTGCAGTAGAGTTTGCATGTTTGTGCCAACCACTGAAGACTTTTTATAGCTCTTTCCTCTTTTAATTTTCATCTTTCAACGAAGCGTTTATTTTCCGTAGGAAAACTGCTTTAAAATGGCATTTTATGTGTGCAACACAGATTACACTGCACTGGAAATTCAAGAATTGAATTGAAAGAAATGCAGAGAGCTTTCATCTGGTTGATTGTTTTCTTAACTGAAGCATTAGGTATATGCATCCAAGCTCTTACTTGCATTCTCTTTCAGAGTAGAAATCTTTCTCTGCTGGCTTGGAGTACGTACAAGAGATGGCTTTGAGTTTCATATTTGTAATAAATTCAGATTTTGTTGCCACTGTACAGGGTGCCACTGTTCGCAATGAAATGGATTCTGTCATCATTAGTCGAATAGTCAAGGGAGGCGCCGCAGAGAAGAGCGGACTGTTACATGAAGGGGATGAAGTTCTGGAGATTAATGGCATTGAGATTCGTGGAAAAGATGTTAATGAAGTTTTTGACTTACTGGTGAGCCATTTGCACTACTTTTCCTTGCAAGCAATGCTCATTTGATAAGACGGAAGCCTGATATCTCTGCTTGTCATCTGTAGTCCTATTTAATATTATTTTAAAATCTTTTCATTCCGTTAGCTAATATTTACATGTAGAGGACCATTTCAAGTTTCCTTTCTGACACAAAGAAAGATTTTGCTTAGATCTGAAAAACCATGATTTTTCTTCATCTCTGACGCTGATTTAGTCTACAATTAATAAACACAATTAGCTATGCGGGTGTTTCACGCAGGTCCTTTACATGACTAGACTTTTTGCTCTTATCTTTCCCTCCTGATAATGATACTTTTGTCTAGGATTTTAGCAGCATAGATATTTTTCATTTCTGTTTACTATATTATTGACACGCATAACAAAATTATACATCAATAGATCATCAAAAACTACTAGGCAAAATTGCAGGAGACCAATCCATCAGGAGCTATCAATGCAAAAGTGCTGTCTCTCAAAGGCCCTGTGATGTAGGATGCTAAAAACTGGGAATTACCAATACTTCCCTTTGCCTGATATTGCTCTTTTCTCATGCTCTTCCCTACTGTCTGTTATTAATCAGTGTCAGAAACGGGACACCTTGAATTTGACTATGAATCTTTGGTCTGACTGTAGGAGGGAAGACTGTTCAGTTGAAGTAAAAACAGATGAAAGTGTCTTTTTTAAAAGTGAGTTTATAACTTTGATGCAAAGCATTGAAAATAAACTGTTGCTTTTTTAATTGGACTTTGGAAAAAAAGAATGAAATTAGGAATATCATGTTTACCAAATCTTTGAATTACTTAATAGATCGAAAGTCTATTTGCAAATCAAAATCGGGGCAAAGACTCGATTCTAGTGTAAGTTGCACTATTATAGAAAGGACAAGTAGTAATATCCATAGATGAAGTTGCCACGTGCTTTCTGGAGTAAGACTATGGTTTTTAATGGATAACTTCCACCTTTAGTTGGATTTTCTTTCTGAAATTTCCTCATTAAATTGACACTTACTAACCCAATTGACAGACAATGCATGGAATGAATTCATGGAGAGAATTTTTTTAACGCATTTAAATATACTCTTAGAGTTGTGAAAAGCTTTCAAACTGTTTCTTGAATCAGCGTTTTCTGAGATGACTCAAGATTCATAATTGTCTCCATTGCCATCCATATTTTAAAAAAAAAAAAAAACATATGCAGCTAAGTCTTATGCTTCTGAAAAGTGTTTCCTATGTGCTTAATAGATAATTCAACTCTGGCAATGCTAGTTTATAGTTCCTCTCTGTGGAGAGCTTGCTCTGTTCTTGAGCAGCTCCTGCAAGCTAGGGTTACAGAATAAGAGATTAAAAACCGCAATACCTTAACGTTGAAGCAAATTGCATGATTAAAATTCTAATATTTCTTAGTTTAAATAAATGAATTTTTGGCTTTAATGTTTTTTTATATGTAGATTTTTGTATTTTGTAATCTGAAATTGAAGTTTTAAAAATTAAGTTGAAATATTTCAGTCCCCAGAGAATACTTTCAACAGAAGGTGGAAAATACTTTCCTTATTTTTTGCTTCATCCTGTGCTAGTAAAATGATGATGAATCGCGTGTGACTAGGCAAGACTATCCAGACCATCGCTGCCCATTTCTTTATGGAGCTATGCATGCTGACTAAGTATCATGGGTTTTGCTTTCCTGCAGCCTAATCATGTTACGCTCAGTTATGTTTGCTTTATTAAGGCCTTAGGTCTGAATTTTGAGAGATACATGTATGTGTGTTGGTTTTATGCAACGTGAATAGTGTTATGGTTGAAGGACTGGTGTGTATGAAGAGAGATGTATCTGGGCCTTTTCACAGGGTTGGTGCTTGCTTTTATATCTGTATATGTTTGTGTACACCCATGCACTTTGCATATAAGAGTTCTCTAAAATCTTCCACTTTTTTCCTCCCAGCATAGACTTACTTTTTGGTATTGGAACAGAACAAGAGAGCATAATTCTCAATCCACCACTGCTTTACAGAGTTGCAAGTGCCCCATTTCATATAGGAATAATTTATGCATAATAAAGAATTTCAGGCTTTTTTATCCATATATCAGCCTTTGGCTTTTTAGTCTGTCACTGCATCACTGTATCTGTACTGTAACTTTGTAACCCAATTATAGATGATGTCTTTTTAGGAACTAGCTTTTCTAGGAATTAATACAGCATTTTCTAAAGCATGTTAACTTATTAGAATTCTTAGCCTTGAGCCAGATTTTGATACTACATGCTGAAAAGCTTTATTTTTTTTTTCCTTCCCTCCTCAGGCTGACATGCATGGTACTCTGACCTTTGTATTGATTCCCAGTCAACAGAGCAAGCCACCTCCTGCAAAGGAGACAGTTGTAAGTAGCTTTACAGAAGTTCTTGAGTTTTGGACGCGTACGTCCATGGGTCTTCTGAGTCACGTTACACTGTGGAACAAAAAACACTTAAACCACCAGACTAATACCTGAATTAGCTAATAAAAATGACTGAAGGAGGTAAGCTGAAATTGATAGTAGGATTTCCAACCCAGTTTCTAAAATAATACACATTACAAAACCAGAACTGCCTCTGCTTCTGAATTTCTCTTTTGAAATTACCTACTATGTGTGTACTTAAATTTTATTGGTTTGAACTTAACTGTTTTTGTTTGAACTTGAAAATATGCTTTGGGAGGGAAAAGTTTGAACACTGAAAAATTTGCTTAGTATCTTGTTAGCTAATATATATTTTTAGATGCTTTAAGAGTTCTGTATAAATTTCTGTGCACTGTGTGTCAAAAACTTTCACCTATACTCCAGCAAAACGGGTTTCAATCCATGCATTTACTAGTTACTCTTTAAAAAAAAAAAAAAAAAACTGACCTAGATAAGTTTGTCTCAAGTTCTTGGTGCAGAAAGCTTAAAACAGCTTTGTGTGTGTGTGCCTTCTGAAGAATTGAGGAAATTACATAGACCCTGTAATTAAATTCAGGCCATCATCTAGCCGTCAGCTAGCACAGCTTAGTCTTTTCCATGGGTAATGTATCTAACTATTCCATTCCATTATCTCCTATATGCCACATAAAATCTTTGTTCTATAGGATCTTGGAGTTTTTATATATTAGAGCTCCAATGCAATCACAGGAAGATGGGGTATAACTCCTCAGAAGCGCTAATTTTTTGTCTGCTTTTACATTTAATCTTCCACAGATACATGTGAAAGCACATTTTGACTATGATCCCTCTGACGATCCTTATGTCCCTTGCCGAGAGTTAGGCCTATCTTTCCAAAAAGGAGATATACTCCATGTGATCAGCCAAGAAGATCCCAACTGGTGGCAGGCCTACAGAGACGGAGATGAAGATAATCAACCATTGGCAGGCCTTATACCTGGTAAGTAAAGCTCTAGCAGAAGCTTGACAGGCCATTGTTGCCATAGCTGTAGTGGGCAATAATCTAGTTTTCAAAGGCTCGTATACCTTGACTGCCTTAAATGATTGTGACTTTGAACCTCTTGCAGCAGAGCACGAATTAGTTCTGTCATTCACTTGCTTAAAAAATACGTTAACTTTAGATGACAGTAGCAGCATAAAGTGGGATCTCTCTGTACAAACGTTAAATACAGAAAAGCTTCCCTTTCTGCAGTTTGCCTTTCAAGAGCAGTTACTACTCTCATAGAGCGGGCAGTTACTACTCTCATAGAGCGGGCAGTTACTACTCTCATCTTCTTCAGCCCTCCACTCCTGCAGGTTCTGTAGATTCAGACTTCCCTCTGCTGGCTGCTGCAAAAACATTGCACTTCAGCCTGCTCGCTGTGTCAGATGTGAGTGGCTGCTGGGTTATTCAGCGTTTCAGCTATTTAAAACCTGTCGTTTTAGGTGATAATTTCCCTGCATGTTTTTGCTCAGGAAAGAGCTTTAATTAAAAGTAGCTTTTTTCATGCTTCCTTTCTAATTGCTAGGGGCTTTTGAGTAATTGTGTTTTCAGAAATTGGAGTCAGTATACAATTTTTGCATTGAATTATGAACTGCATTTCAGCCCGTTAAAGATCCCCTTATCTGTTAAACATAGTTGGGGGGGGGGGGGGAAAGGATGGTTCTAATACTGTAGAAATATGATAATTTATAATATTTGAATAAGAGAAGAACACTGATGCTAAATATAAGCTAATCTCTTTCAGTCTGATGTTCAGAAGATTTTGTATAAATAGAACACATCTAACACTAAAAATAACGAGGAAGCCATATCTTCATAACTTGGAAATGTAATCATTCCAGTATTTTCAGTTTTCCAAACAAAACTATCCACGATAGTTTGAATGCTCCGCAACTCTTTCTTGAGCGATATGGTTTGGAGGCAATAAACAAACAGGTTTCTCAGCAGCTTTAACCTTCTGCAAAGTGTGTATTGGATTTCTTCGAAAGGCTGATTCCTTCCTTCCAAGATTCACAAAACATTCAGGTCATGCTGGGAAGGAAACTAGCTGGTTTCCTATTTCCCACTCGCTAATAATAATGCATTATTAGCTATGTTCATATACCTGAAGAAGATGATATACAAGCAATATGAGAACTCTAAAAGTACAAAAATACACTTGCTGATGATGCCAGGGGTACGTGACTTATTTGACAATAAACTTAGAACTTGAAAAGGAATTCTTATTAAAAAGGCATCTTGTGAAAGCTGGGCAACGTGCCCCCAAAACCACTGAACAAATGTTTGACCATAACTGTCATCTGAAATCGGTAATGCTGTTGAAACAACACAGATGCTTATTTTTGTGTAAATATGAATAACATCACTACCACAGATCCTTAGCTTCAAAGGATATCACTAATGTGGTGCATGTGACATGCCAATTTGTTGTACTCGTTGTTAAAGCTTGGGCTCATTTAATGTTTTTTAATTTTGAGATGCATTCTATTAGGCTGAGGTAACTTTGTCTTCTGTGTGAGCAGCCTATTTTTTCCCCAGTGAGTTTCTCTAACATCTTGTATTCCACTAGACTCTTCAGAGATTTAAAAGCACAGGAAAAAGTAAAATGAGTAGGTCATTAGAGGAAAGTAAAGAAATATGTATACATTTTTTAGTTATAAATGGAAATGGTTTTTAACTGTTAACTGCTGTTGTACTTTTTTTTTTTAATTTATGTATTAAGGAAAAAGTTTTCAACAGCAAAGAGAAGCAATGAAGCAAACCATAGAAGAAGACAAGGAGCCAGAAAAATCAGGTTGGATATACACTTTCCAAAGAGCAATTTTCTGTTACACAGGTGCAAATTAGAGAGCTTTCTGGAACTGGTTTGCATAGAGCATTATAGAAAATTCTCCCACTTCTTTGTAGTACAGATGGGATGATTCTTTGAAATTCTTGATATAAATACGGGTCTGACTTTAGAACTTTATTGTATCAATTGCAATGATATACAATGTAATGGAGGTAATGTAGGAGAACTTGGGGAGCCTCTTTCTTTCTAAGAATTATATCTACCATCACTCAGTTGAAGACCATGACATGTAGCATTTGCTTTATATCCCAGACTTGTAACGAAGTGAAGAACATCATGCATTTTCAAAACTTAAGAAAAAAAATCTTCATTTTAAAAATCCAGATAGTGGGAGGGATGGGGAGTGTTTTACTGTACAGATAATTGTGTTCTTTTTATTTTGGTTAGGAAAACTGTGGTGTGCGAAGAAAAATAAAAAGAAACGAAAGAAGGTTTTATACAATGCAAATAAAAATGATGGTAAGCAACATTTTTTACACAGTGTGTTCACTTGGAACAGCTATAGAAAATCCTAGGAATAGTTAGGCCTGTGAATAGGAAGTTGAAATTCAGGATATGATGTTAGAAACGTTGCCTGACGATGTTCCATGTGGTGGTAGTAGTATGGTTTGCAACTGTATTTAGTGAAAGATGTAAAAGAGGTTGGTGCCAGGAGCTATAAGAACGTTTAGTGCCTTTATTAAAGACCAGATGATACAGGTAGAAAAATAAAGAGCTTTTGGGGCATTGAAGCTCTCACAGGTTTACAGTAGTGAACCACTTTATTATGATTTTGAAAAATCATTATACTCTGCATGAGTAAGTTTAGTAGATGGAAATTTTGTCCACAGTGATTTCTGTAGGCTGTTAAAACTATACTCTTACAAAAAAGTACCTTGGGATTGGGATGGCAGTCTTTTTTTTCTTTTTTTTGTCATTGTTCGACATAAGATGTTATTCTTATACTAGAAACTTGCTCCTTAGCAAGAGGGTTATTTCCTGAGTTTGTACCACTGCCTATATCCGTAGAGATTGGAAGCACGCTTTCCCTCCCTAGAAGGGGAAGAAGGAATATCTTGTCCTACTGGACAGCCACAAGTAGTAATTTCTGGAGTTTTCTTGCTTTGGTTGCTTGCAGATAAACGCTGGGAAGAGAGACAGGAGCTTCTTAAACCTAGTACCGCATGCACCTAGCAATAACATGATAACTTTATGTTAATGTTTTTCTCTCAAGATTATGATAATGAGGAAATACTGACCTATGAGGAAATGTCACTGTATCATCAACCAGCAAATAGAAAAAGGCCTATTGTTCTGATTGGCCCACAGAACTGTGGCCAAAATGAATTGCGTCAGCGACTCATGAATAATGAAGTAGATCGCTTTGCCTCTGCAGTTCCACGTAAGTTTGGCAGGCAGATGTGATTGCTTATTCTAAGTACTGTCTGCAGGCATGTTCTCTCGTGTTTAAAACTGTGATTAGGATTTGGGGTTTTTTGAGCAGGATATAGGCAGCTTCTGGATAAAGGTTAAGTCAAGTCAAGTCTTGCGTAGTAAAAAGTAGCTTAGGTAAATCAATGAAAATCCAATGTCCCAATATCGTGTTTTAGAGGCGTTATAAGATGAGCATATATTTCAGCTTAGATAAAGTTGGAGCGAGCTACAGCAGTTTGAAAAGGAAACTGGCACACCTGTCAGTTTTTAACCTAGCTATCCACAAATTTCAGTTTTGGTGATTTAGTGCCTTTCCAAACTTCTTATATTTTCATTGTGTTATATATTTAATGTCTACTATACTGTAAACTAGTTTTTACAAACAACTTAACAATTTAACATGTTATAAGTGGCTAACATTTTTTTCCCCATCCAGAATGCAGTTGCACAGGTGAAACAGGTCCTTTTCTAGTTGATTAAATGTTTCTAGATTAATTTAAAAAACAAAAACTGTAGGTTCGATATTTGGCAGATTAATCTGTTCATGGATATTTTTTGTTGAAAATAAAATACTTGCCTTTTTATTGGATATTTCAAATGCCTTTTTTTACTTTATTAGCAGTATCTCTCCTAAGCCGCTTGAAATTCTACAGGTATATCACTGTCTTGATTTCTTTTTGGTTGCTCTTATTTGTAGATACTACTCGGAGCAGGCGAGAGAATGAAGTAGCTGGGAGGGATTACCATTTCATTTCCCGACAGGCGTTTGAGAATGACATAGCCGCAGGGAAGTTTATTGAATATGGAGAGTTTGAGAAGAATCTCTATGGTACTAGCATAGACTCTGTGCGGCAAGTAATCAACTCTGGCAAGATATGCCTTTTAAATCTTCATACCCAGGTATGGCAGAAGCTGTTGCCTATTGTGTTTTTTATTCTAGCAGCTACTTGCAAATCTAAAGGGCCTGTATTTGGTGGTTTATGTATGGTTTATGTGTTCAAAATCCATTTCCGCGTTCATTCTAAATTTTCGTTCAGTATTGTTCGATTGACTCTTAGTGTGTTCTGTGTGTTTTCAAACAAGGAATATTGTATTCATAACGTCTTCTGTATCTGTGCTAAAGGTAGAAGGGGCCTTTGGTCTCCAGGCGCCTGGTTTTCACCTGCTTTAACTATTTGAGTTGAAAAACTAATTAAAATATCCTTATTGTCTCACTAGTCTAATTACTCTGTGAGCTCTGGGGTTTTGAAGATGGAGATGAAGTTGTTCAGGATTACATGTGGAAACTGCATTTTGGAAATGTGACTATGTAATTCCCTAGCAGGCAGGATTACAGGACATCATAATGATATTGAACAGCTCTTTAGCTATGAGACCTTGATATTGTGGAGAGCGAAGGGATAATTTATGTCTACAGAGTTCAGCTTAGAAATTTAGCCCAACCTAGTAGGCCTAGTCATAGAAGAAGCCTGAGGTCTGCTGCTGTTGGAACTGCTGCAAGAAAGTCCTAAAACTAAGATACATCAGTAAAGTCTGGTAATACTGAAGCTAGAATCAGCCTAATCCATTGGGACTGTATGATGTTTCACTAGCCTAGCTCATGGGTTCACAAAGCACGTAATGAAAACAAATAGGTTGAAAATTCCTAGCACCTTGAAAATTGACTTGATCTACTTTTATGTCTGTAAAATTTAAGTCACCTTCTCCTGAGACACAGAGAAGAAAGGGTTTTGGGGGGGAGGGGGGGGAGGAACCCTACAATCTGTTTCAGTGAATCTGTTGTGTTTTAATCTTCAAAACAGAAAATTAAATTGGAATTTTTGATGGTATATTAAAAACCCTTCTTTCAATAAAAGCTGATATACTATTTTTAGGAAACTTTTTTTTTTGCTTTGGCTACTGAACAGTATGTTCCCTCAATCTCAAGTTAACTTATGTAGAACGATGTTGAACAAAAGTAAATGTGTTCTATAGAACCAAAAGATGTTGGAATACTAATTTTATAGGAAATGGTGACTGAAATCTGAGTGGTGGTGGTGGTGCAATTACAGTTAATAATACTGCTGTTAATATATTGCACATGTGTAATTAACTTAGTCTTTTAAGGACTATATGATCAATTATACTATTTGAACAGTGCATCATTAAACATCCATTTCATGGGTGGAACTTTTGTTAACTGCTCTACCCTTAAACCCTATTTTCCTGCAGTCACTGAAGACTCTACGCAATTCAGACTTGAAGCCATATATTGTATTCATTGCACCACCTTCACAAGAAAGATTACGTGCTTTATTAGCCAAAGAAGGGAAAAATCCAAAGGTAACATTTTTGAAACCATTCTATTTTTTGTTGACAGATCTAGACTGCTCTCAGTGAACATATTTATATACTATTTTTTGGAAGCATGAAATCTTAATGGTACTTACACTATACAGGAAGTGCTGTGGTTTAGAGATATGTTCTTTCCAGATTAATAGGCAGACAATACTAAGGGAAGGCCTTAGGGTACTCTAGCCTAACTGAACGTGTGTAACATATGGGACAAAGACAACTGCTAATTCAGTAATGCTGGGGCACAGTGTTTCTTTCCAGTTGCAGAATCAGTTGTGGTTCCTGCATTTGGGCACAAAAATATGACCCTTGATTTCAAAACTCTGGAAAACCCAATTTCATTGTCCTCAAGCAAACATGAGAGAAATTCTGGAGAGCAAATGATTTTTTTTTTTCCTTTTGAGGGCCTATCTACCCTTGAAAAATACTTTATTGAAAATGTTTTCTAAAACTAAACTATTTGGATAAAGTTATGCTGGTGTTTGATCCTGTAGGATCACTCCTCGCGCGTCGGTGTGAATAGCGTCTGTCTCAGTTTATCTAGTTAATATTTAGTTAAATGGAAATTTAGCTCTGTAGGATGGAATTGAAACCCAGAGATTAAACCAGAGTGTCTGAAAGCTCAGAAAAGGTCCTTATTTGCTTATAGGATACAAAGCATGTATTGCTAGAATAATGAAAGATGTTGATCTCCTTTTTTTTTTTTTTTTTTTATGGAGATGTACCTACAGTGGTTGGAGCACTTTGCCACCATTATCTCAAACACCATATCTAAATATTACTTATATAACAGAGCAATAAGATAAGCTGAGGAAGATAAAATTAAACATGCTTTTAGAATCCAAGTGTAATAATCAAAACCTTAAAACAATACAGTTCTACTTCTTTCTTGGCATCTTTTATCTACATGGGCAATATTCCTGCTTCTGACACTTTCTCTTCCAGCTTACAAATTTTTTCCTTTTTTCTGCAGTGTTATCTATCTGATGCTATAGTGCTTTTGTTGACTCAAGTGTTAGTTGTCATTGTGATTCTCATTGTTTGATTTTTTTGGTTATTTTTCCTATATGTTTCTTGGGGTAAAAATATTTTAATGATAGCTGTTGCCTTTGGCTGTGCAGTGTTTGTAATGTTACATCTTCAGAGGCACGTTGTCTTGTTCTACACCATTCAAACTTTCTCTCATGCCATTTCTGACATCCTCAGCCTCTTTGGAAAGATAGGGAGCTTAGTGATCTCATGTATTTTTGAGAAACATGATTTAAGATCCTCAGTAAGATGCATGTTATAAAATAAGTAGCAATGCATCTTTCTTGTGCGCTTCAGTCTGGGACAGTTATTTACTGGGTTGTCAGTTGTGGCCAGTCAGAAATGACTGATGATGCCAAAAACGTAGAGGTATATTGAGTGTTCCTGGCTTTCAAATATGTATCATGGTTAAGTGTTGTCAGTAGTTTTTCAGTAGCCAAAACTGATACCGTGAAAAATTGTTTAAAAGACCTGAGTTAAGGTGTTACCTTTCTCTATTGTTATGGGAGGAGGCTTACATGCATACAATAACTGTCTGGTTTTGATTGCAGCCAGAAGAACTGAGAGAAATCATAGAGAAGACGAGGGAGATGGAACAGAACAACGGCCACTACTTTGATACAGCAATTGTAAATTCTGATCTTGATAAGGCGTATCAGGAGTTACTTCGGTTAATAAACAAACTTGACACAGAACCTCAGTGGGTGCCCTCTACCTGGCTACGATGAAAGAGAACAATTCTAAGGGACAAACGGACTTCGATCTAGCAGCCTTTCAAAGGAGATTGTGTTTAGGTCTACCCATTTCTAATAACAGATGGGAGTGTAAGCTCTAGACCTTGGTGGCTATATCCTTTGCCAGTGAAATTCTGTATTACTGAAAAAATCCACTAATCGGCTTGTGAGCTGATTTAACTAATTTAAAGATTGTCTAAGTTTCCTTCTCTGTGGTCTAAAAATGGAGACGCTTGAGTCAGTACTAAATTCTAAAGCTTTAGACAGATTTTTCTAGCAACTACTTTTATACATAAATACACCATATTTTTAACCTAGAATCACTCTTATAAAATTAAAAGATTTGAAGTATGTGCGTGTGTGTGTGTGTATATATATATATATGCAGTCCACGTTGTCACATAGTTATAACTATTAATGTTATTTAACACTTAACTTAATGACTTTGTGGGACATGATGGTAGTTCAGGAGTGTAATTTTACAGATCATTGGGCAGAGAAATAATCTACACATGAAATGCTGATGAGAAATTTTTCCTATTTTAAAAATATACAAAATGAAGATGTCACTCTGATCTGAAGCTGCCCTGAGAGGCTTGAATTTATTTTTTACTTAAAAAAAACATTCCACTTTCTAATAGCACTGTAATTCGAAAATGTGTATAGTGTAAATATTTCAATCCTTGGGTCTTTTTAGTCAGGCTTTGTAAGTCACAAACAGCTGCACATTAATTTTTGGTCCAATCAAAGATGATTATTATATTGATCTTTTAGATGTGATCTTTTTATGGAATTTTCATTAAAACTTATTGACTGATTGGAGCCACTGTTCTCCACAGATCTGTAGAGATATTTAAAAAGGCAAAGCTTATATTTTTATGAAAAATACATAGTTATAAAACATGCTGATTAAGAAGCAACAGATTCTCATGTTTTATAACAAAGGATACTGACTAAAACAGAAGGATGTGCTGAATATTGAAGATGGTGGGGGTGGTTCTCTCTGGAAAAGGTTTGTCTTGTGGCTGTTGCTCTAATGGATAGCTAACTGGAATTAAAATAGCTGAATGTAGCTACTGTATTGTAAACTAGTATTTTAATTCACCAGCGATGTATTGTCCTGCATTTGCTCAGTACTGCAGGAAAAATGTGTAAAACACTGGCAACTGACTGAGACGTCACAAGAAAGGGAAATATTTGGAATTGTTAAAACAAACAAACAAAACTTGAAACAAGTCAACAGAAGGCAAGGTCTGTCTGTATCCTAGCATGTTCTGCAAACACAGATCACAACATCTCTACATCCTCAAATAATTACCTGAGCTGTGAAGGTTTAACTAACTGAAGCTCTGCATCTGCAGTAGGACTGCTCAGTCGCTGAAGCTAACTGAATAGTAGTGTCTTGGCTGGTTTGCTAATAGGTAGCATGAAGAACCTTGAATGTGAATGTTTCTCTTGATTTTTAGCCATAGCATTTCCTTGTTCCTACAGGTAAAACACTGGAGTTATGTCAATGTGTAGTTCACTCCTGTCTAATGCTGATGGTTAAAAGGTAGTTGACTTTTTTCCATACTGTCTTGCATATATTTTTTCTTCAAGCTTTGATGGAACAAATTCATACCCATAGTTGAATAGAGAGCACTAAGTATACAGCAAATATAAGAAGTTGCATCAGATCACTTTGCTAGTTACTGAACTAATGTGATGTACTGAAAAATGAAAGTATAGAGTGCATTCCAGTGTTATAGCAAAAGTATTTGCTGATTTTTTTTTTTTTTTTTAGCCCTAAAAACAATTAAAATACACAATTAGGCAATTAGTGAGGCTAGGTAGTGACCCTTCAGAAAGGAAAGGGGTTGGAAACTTATCTTCAGTTCATTTCAGTGTTAGAAATTATTTAATAATGTTCTATCTGTTGCCTAAGGGCTAGAGATCCAAAAGTATGGCTTTTTGCCTCACATTGCAGGCATGTTCTCACTTTAATCCTGACTTTTGTTATGACAGCTAGAACATTCGGTTATTTTGAATAGTCAGTGTTTCATAGATGGCAGAACATCAGTTCTGCCCCCCCCTTTTTTTGAAAGATGATGATTGTAGATGTTTTAGGCTTTGTTATTGACTGTGTCACAGTCACAGACAAGAAGGCAGAAAGCAGTAAAATGTGACAAGGATGACCTAGCTCAGCTAGGTAGGTATTGTCCAAATTGTTACAGTCACAATCAACATAGGATAGTTGCTCTGTCCCCTTATATATTCAGTGTTAACATGCAGTGTCAGTCATGTTAAATCATGCAGTTATTGTATTTGACTAATTTTTATCTCCCCAAGTTTTTCTGAAATGGTGTACAAAAGTTATTAGACAAAAAAGCTTTTGAATGTAAACTTCAAGAATGTTGCATTAAGTTCATCTCTACTCTCTTAATTACCAGGACACACAATATATTGACATCCATATAGAGAGGTGCTATGATAGCTAATGTAGTTTTGTCTTCAGCTGAAAGACTTGAGCAGCACTGAGAAATGTACCAGCCTGTCCATCTGCCACCAGTTTGAATCTACTTTTTTTTAATGAAGACTGTTAACTCCCTTGAGGGTAAAGTTTATGCAATCTTCACTGGTGAAACACTTTAACATTATCACAGGCTTTGTAGTGAGCTGTACCAAACTGAAAGGAGGGTATCAGTATTTTTACCAGTCCAGATTTATTTAAAAATAAACTTATTAGCCAAACTGCATAAAGGAATTTTTGAATGTAATTATGTGGCTTTTTAAAGTATAGATGGGGGTTTAATGCCTTAAGGTAACTTTACTGAGAGCTGTGCTTGGCCCACATTGTACTTTTATACATGTACCTGCACTCTGTATTTTTGAGACATCATGAACTGCACACTAATGTAAAAATGTAAAATATTTCTAGATTTAAAATAAATTCACTGTACAATTTTATTTCTTGTAGTGGATTTTGGAGTTGTTTTCCCACTGTGTTCCTGAATGTGTGAAAGGACACTTCGATCCATCAGTGCCCTAGGGGCTGTTTTCTATACCTCTCCCACTGGATATATGGTGTCAGAAGGGCACACAGGGCATGTTCCTCAGATTTACAATTTCTCTCAACTGTTGTCTTACTGTGGTTTTCTTATAGTTGCTGCTTAATTTTTTAAATTTAGTTTAACTCCTATTTTTATTTCTTTCTGAAATCACCGACTCCTTCCCTTCACTCTAAATTCCAGGATTTTATCAGTGAAACTTTCTGGGTTCTAGCTGTAAATCACCTGCGCTGATGTGATCCATTTTCAGATGGGCATGCCTGTCATCTTGTTTGGCAAAAGCCACAGAAGATGCTCGGTCCAAACTTCAGTGCTCCAGAAGAGACTTCTAAAATTCTCTCAATCTGTTGACCTGGCATTCATTTGTACTTTATTCCATTCTAAAACCAGCTTCAGCTGAGTTCTGTTCCATCTAAGATAGTTAATTGCAATATGATAGATAAATTGCTGCCTGTAGAAGAGGGAGGAAGGATACTGTTACACAGCTTTTAGTCCAACAAGTTGCAAAAAGCTACTGTTCAACAACAGGTACAACCTTCTCTATGCTATGGCTTACACTGAAAGTTAGAATTCATAGGAGCTGTTCTACCACAGCCCTGATGGTTCTCTTGGATAACACAATTAAACCTATTACTGGCACATTTTTCTCCAGCAACTAAAAGCAGGGTCTTCCCTGGGTTGACAAAACAGTCATTTCAGCATAGTACAACCAGAAAGTACTTCTTAAGGATGAAGAATTAATTCCCCTTACAAAGTTCCTTTGGGGCAGTGCAATGAGGATTTTAGCAACATATAATGGGCTACCTCCGCAGAGGTTTGTATGTGGCAGAAGAGTCATTTCTCCTTGGTTACTTACCTAACAAGGTAATGTTTAAGTGAATGTGGATACAGCCTGTAAAAGGAAGCCCAGTGCAGGTTCAAAGTTGGGGGCAGGGGAAGCAGCATTATTTTGAAATAAACACTACAATTTCCAAGTATTTAAGGCTGTTATCCTCTCGCAACTTGGTCCAGACACCAGACATTTAACACTTGAAACTTTACTTGTTTCTAGCACAGACAGTACACAAGTTGGCAGAACCTCTAATTAAAAACATAGGCCAAAATTTAGGCCATTGGTAACAATCGTGCAACAGAAATAAATCATTTAAGAGTGTGGATTTCATCAATGGGTTAGAAAACATAGTGGTCTATAATCACATTTAACTTCAAACTGTGCCAATACGTGCTTTAAGTAACTTTTAATAGTTCAACAGCAAAAATTTTGTGTGCATCTCCCTCCCCAAATGACATTTCCACCCTTACACTTGAAAGGGGAGGAGTTTGAAAGGAAGCTAACTAGGGAAAACCAGAGCCAGTCCTGCAAAAGAAACAAGCGTGGGCACTCATTCCTACTGAGTAAGGAGACTAGAGGAACACAAAAAGACTCTTGATAGTCTCTACTGAAACCAACAATAAAAGGCTTTCTTGATAGTAAAGCACCTGCAGTGAAATTCACAGATTTCTAATCTCCCAGGAGAAATCCACAATCCAGTCAACTCAGATTTATACAACAACTGAGAAGCCAAATAAATATCATTGAGGCAACGTGTCCAGAGTTACATTGCAGCTGGACATTGTCTTCTGGGTCCCCCACTCCCATATACAATAATTAATTGTGCCAGGTTACTCAAAGAGAAGGTCTTCATCCTTCTCTTCTGCTAAGAGGTTGGCAGGTTCACGTTCCCCACCAGCAGCTCTCCGCAGCTCCCGTTCTTTCTCAGATTTTTCTTTCAATACTTTCTTCTTTTCCTGTATCTTCTTTAACCTGTGAACAACACATGATTTATCAGTGAAAACAATATGATGTTTTCATAAAACAGGTTGGCAGCAGAGATGCAATACAACTCAGACGTGACAAAGCTGCGTGAAGGAGTTCGCCAGGAAATGAAGATCCTGTAACAAATGGCAAAAGGCTCCTATGCCTAGCTGCTGCCCCTGGGGAAAAAAAAAGTCGTCGTCCTTGCAGATTAAAACTCATTTTTTCATCCAAATTCTAAATTACATTCTTGACCCTAAACACTGCGTTACCCTACTCTGCTTTTCTTGAATGAAGACAATTCTCCTTTAATCCATTTCAGGTTTGACATGTTCACTCCAGGCAGCCAGAAAAGCCATCCATGGACGTGGCATCCTTAAAGCAGAGCACCTTCATGTACTGTATTCCGTACTCTGCAGGCACATGATAAAGACGGCAAGGCACAATGAAGTGGAAGGGATTTGTTAGTAACTTTGAGACAAGTAATTGCAGAGCTCCAATTGCCCTGCTCTGGGAATTCAATGTGCAGCAAGAACCAGATCATTTTTAACAGTGTTCACTGACAGATTTGGCGAATAGCTTTCCTAACTGCATTTTGAGGAGTTTGGTCTTGTTTTAGATAGATACTTGCCTGTAGAATTCCTCTCGTTCTCTTTCATCCAGTTCCGTGATGATGTAAGAAAGAGTACGCTCAATCCTGGGAATAAATTGTTGGACTGCTGGTCTGTTAGCCAGGAAATTGTTTAATGCAGTGCAGGGACAGTTATTTAAAGTTTTTTTTTAAACAAACAAACAAAAAAGCCACAACAGGTAGGCTGGATTTGAATGAAAATTACATTCTTTCATCACATTATCAGAAACTTCTGTTCAATATATAGCACTTTTATCCACAGCATTCATAGTTTGAGAAAGCCATCACATCCAGCTGCAATGAAGAAAATACTCAACTATACCTTCACAAGGGAAGAGATAAGACATTAAACAAAGTTTAGCACAAGACCTGGGCACTTCTAAGGGCTATGTGCCAGAAACCACCTTTTCAAAGGTGAAAGCTGTTACCAACGCAGCCAAAGTTGTCTGAAAGGCTGCAGAAGAAGCCTTTTCTACGCTGAAATTTGCTGAGTGATAACCACAGAAAAAGCCTGCAAGTTCAAAGGAATAAATCTACGGAAAACAGTATTGAAGAAGACAGTTTAAAATCATTTATTCAAATAAATAAGCTATTGTGTACATACAAAGATGGTTAAATCCCAGCTGTCAACAACTCAAAAAAGAGTTTGAGATAATCAAAGCACCCTGATTACTACAGCAAAAGGAATCACAGCATTATTTATTGTGCATGGGTAGTACTTAAGAAATTGCAAGAGACAAATTTACAAACGGGAACATGAAGGATAAAGAATTCAGATCAAAGATAAATACCAAAGAATCTAGATCAGCATCACTCTGTTTCCTATAACCTAAACCTGAATTTAGCCAAGATTGCTCTCTAGATGCCTACTCTGCCCTCCCATCCAAAAACAAAAAGTCACCACCTCTACGCTGGACACCACCAATCCAGTTTCAAAAGCTGTAACCCTAGGAAATATTACGAAAACAGCATCCCTCCCTTTTGTTTCCAGTCAATAGATTTGACAAAATAAGTCAAAGAGGACTAGCAGACACTCCAGAATATGCATTTTTGTGGTCTTTGCTCTACAGAGTCTGAGTGCAACTTCCTAAGTCCTTTCTTGTGTTTGCTTGCTCATGTATCTCTGTGTACTCCAGCCACAGTTCCGCTAGACTTTTACAACAGGAAAGCAATCAAAAGAAGAGCAGCTTCCAGGACTCTGCTCTCCGTCACGAAAGGAGACTCAAAACCATTATGCATCCGAACAGGGAAAATACTCACCATGTTCAATTGCATTCACACGTCTGTTTGTTATTTTAATGGCTTCATCCAAAGTAACAAAGGATGTCTGAAGAAAGATATTCAATAATTAACGTATGACAAGACAAACCGAGCATTTTCATTGATCCTACACACAAAACGGATAAAAATTCTTGATGGGAGCAGAATTGTTTCCGCTAATGTCAGTGCTCTTACTATTAACAGATTACATATGAATGATGCACAGTAGCAGTTACAAGTCTACTACACCAAATACTAACTCCCTGAAGAAAGTTTGCGTTCTTGACTAATGAAATCAGTGAAGCTGTACTATAATTGAGTTTCATGAGTGAAAAAGGTCTGCAACTTTGTACCATGATGGACTAAAAGATTATAGTACAGCTGAAAGCATTAGGCAACAATCACTGAGACTACTTTACTTTCATTTATGAACTGTGAGAAACCAGAGACCCCTTCCCTTTCCCCCCCATTTTTTTTCCTCCCATCAACCTGTAAGGAGGCCAGTTCCACGAGCAGCTCCACAGCTTTGGCATAGTTCCTCTTCAGCTTGGCCAGCTGTTCTCCACCCCTGGCCAAGCCAGTCAGCTCATAACCTAAAGGAAAAAAAAAAAATCAAATAATATTTGTTGCTAATGCCATTATGGTGCTTCCTTACCAGAGAAAAGCTAATATTTTACAAATTACAGGGATACAAGAGGCTCAGGAACTGAGAAGGTAAAGTCTCTGCCCATTAACAAATCCCTCTATATAGTGGTTTATGTAAAAAGTCATTGTTTTGCATGTCCACCATAAGATCTGCCAGTCTTAAAAACCTAGTCATCAAGACCAATCTTTCTCTGGTCTGAAAAAAACACTGATTTAGGGAGTTAAAATATACTATAGCCCCTAATAACAACCCTTCCATGCCACAGAAACACAGGTAAAGCATCACGGAGGAAATACGTACTACTATGCCTATGCTGCAAACTGACTTATCCGCAAGACACGACAATATTTTTCCATTAGCATCGAATAGCTCTAAGTACCGGTAAGATATAAAATACTCATTTTGTACTTACTGTCCCCTCCTTCCTGGTAATGCTCAAAAACTGGCAAGGTTACGCCTAGCAGAAGCAAACAAGAACACGTGCAAGAGACAAAAAAGTGTTACTTATTTATTAAGTACAACTCACTTCTCCCCCATTTGCTTCTAACAAATGACATGAGCTCAGAAGCTTTGCTTTCAAAATCTTGATATATAGTTTGGAAAGATTAAGTCATGCTGGTTCTGCCATTTTCATATGGAACCTCAGAATCGTATTACTTTACCTCTCATTGAGATACAGGCACATAAAACATTCAGGGAAGTATATTCAGTTTTGTTATGCTTCTCTTTAGTACTGTTTTCCGGATGCTTAAGGAAAGCTTTCAGCATTTGATTTTAATTTAGCTTTCTTGATTTCTTAATAGACAATTCTTGCTATTTAATTTCCTGATGTTAATTTTTAATATTGAATTTCCTGATTTCCTGACCTGTGTTTAGTGCCCAAAGGGGAAAAAAAAAAAAAAAGCACATTAGAAATTGTGCTTTCTTTGATGATCTAGAAATTGGACTGCAGTTTATACGTCTCTCATAAAATGAAATGAGTGTAAGTGACTAAATATAAAAATTCATCTGTGGTACGTAAAAATCTTAGTAGATTACAAGTGTTCCTACCATTAGATGAATAAGAGAAATAAAGAAAATCTATGTGGAACATTTGTTTGGAAACTTCACTGCATATTTCAGAGTCTCCTCCCCCACATTCCTCAAGAGTCGAAACACCCATAATCTGGAAAAGTCACCTGCTACGTTGTCTTTTTTAGCTCTGATCTTGACTTGAGCTTTGTTCACATTTTGGATCACAGTGGTACTGTAAGGAAGAAAATGTATATCTTAATCAGGAAGGATGAAGTGGTTCATTAATTCACTAGATACAAAGTGAAGCAGTTACCAAATTGCTGTAAAGATTTGGAAATCATTTTCAGCTCAGTTTTCTGAGCACAGACTTCAAAGCTAACACAGAACCTTTGAAACAAATGGGTTTCCAACACAATGTTTGGAAATGCAGAAGAAGCAGACTCTGTGAAGTGTTATTTTAGAAACAGCTGTGACCAAGTACACAAAGCATATCTGAAGACTAGCCAGTTTTCTAACAAACTTCTTCAAAATATTTTAATAATGCTAAGTCTAATAAACCCGTAAGACCCTCCTCCCACTAAAAGCAAAGGAATTTCAAAGTTAAAACGCAAACCGAAGCCGTAACGTTCAGTTCATTTTCACTTGTTCTTTGAGAACAGTAATGCGTTTGTTTAGCCACTAACTCTACCAAAATAACAAACTTAAGTTTCTACAACAATTTGTCTTGACGGATTCTAGAGTGTCTTAAGGGCTTCCTGAACAGGTCACTGTAGCCAACTCTTCTACTGAAACAAAGTTTACTGACAGGGTGGAATCTGACCATTGTTTATAGCTAAGCAGTACAGCTGGTTAGCACAGGAAACAAAGGGCATCACGTCCAAATGAAAGGGCAAAAAGACTTTTATGGATGCTGGGCACCTGCAGCAGCACACAGATCACTACTGTGTCTGATCACTTGTTTCTTCCCCATTAATTGGTACTATAAGCTGAATCATTAACGCTTCCCCACCTCTACTGCACAAAATCTGTTTCCAGCTAAACAAATTACTCAAACATCCTAGGCAGAATTATAATTTATCCCAATACAAACATCCCAGTGGAGGAAAAAAGATTTGTTCCCCCTCATTAGCCCTAGTGAGACAACAGGTTAGGATCCTGCCCATAAGTCCACAACAAACAAACAAAAAAACATAAATAGACATAAATAGTTTAGATCCTGCTATGTTAAGATTCCAATTTGCAAAAAGCAACTATCTTCTCAAATCAAGGATTTTTGTGTAATTTGTGTGTAAGTTCTGTTAATCTTTCTGCTTTGTTTGCTTCTAAAGGGATATACGTTTTGATCACACAAATCATCTTTGTCCTACAGTGATGCCCCCCCACCTTATCTAACGGAATACTGACCATACTGTCCTACCTAGTTCACTGCCTTCTTTTGCTCTTTTTAACAAGTATTTAAGAATTTTACTTTTTTCCAAAAGAGAGAGCAACAGTTTGTTGATCACTCT